TTGGGTTAAGTTACATAGCCTCTGAAAAACCGTGCTTAGAGACTTGCTTAAGATTTTTTCAGTAGATTTAAACGTGTCAAGCACGTACATGGGAGACGGGTGGCAGAACCTCAATTACACTTCTTAATAGACAATAAAACCCCCTACAAATAGACAATAAACCCCAAAAAAGCTGGGGCCTACAAGAAGAGGCTGACGAATGCCTAGATCTGAATGAGGAGCTATGATAGGATAAGGAAATAGCGAAGCACAAAGCAAGAAGGTAGTAGGGCCAGCTGTGTTAGGACAAGGGGAAATGGTTTTAAACTAGAACAGGGTAGGTTCAGGCTAGAGGTAAGGAAGAAATTTTTTACAGTGAGGGTGGTAAAACACTGGAACAGGTTGCCCAGAGAGGTAGTGGAGGCCCCATCCCTGGGAACATTCAAGGCCAGGTTGGATGGGGCTCTGAGCAACCTGATCTAGTTAGCAGTGTCCCTGCTCACTGCAGGGGGGTTGGACTAGATGACCACTAGTGGTCCCTTCCAACCCTAAACATTCTATGATTCTAAGAAAATAGCACGGAGCAGACTAACGCGCAGCTAGTTGGAGACTGGCGAGGATCACGGATCCTTATAGCCTCCGAGGAAACGTCTCTTGCTGCCTCTAAAACTAGCCTCAGCCATTTCAGCTCGTATTACTCTTCTCCTAAACGCCCCTTCACGGGTGTTTCCCCCCGTTAGACACAGCCCTCTTTGCCAGCCAGCCAGTACTCCTGCCTGAGTGGCAGAGCTCTGAACAGGGAATCTCCAGCCTCCTTGCTGGCGTTCACAACCATCAGCGTACCACGCTGACCAGCACCACCACTCACTTTACCTCTTCCGAGCTTTAAATGGCACGGGACGGTAAAGGAGGGACCGGACAGCACGGCCTCAAGCGCTCCAGCACCAGCGGCTGGGGATGAAGCACTGCTCACCTCTCCTTATGCCACGGGTAAGGCCACTCTCCTTCAAAGCAAAGCGGCTAGCCAAACCCAGTCCCAGCATCTGATGTGCCAGTTGCTATAGTCCAGGAGTCTAGTTATGAATGTAAATGTGGCACTAATTCAGTCAAGCCCTATAATCTGTGTAATATAAGAGGTTCAGATGGTTGATCGTAATAGTTCTTTCTGCTGCTATTATATTTCTCTCCTTTAAACCAATCTTTGTGTCATTTTTCTTTTGTCCTTAGGGCACCAACTGATTCCATGCCCGACCGTTTATTGATTTTAGGACCTTGGAATGCCATGTATAATCTTAAAGAGTTCACTTTATAACTTAATACTGGGCTAGCTACTTAGTAAGGATCCTATCATATCTTTTTGTTATTTGCTGATTTTTGTTTGTTCCCCTTCTGTTTTAAAATCTGATCTCCAGCTGTCAAAGAAAGATTTTTATCTGGTGTGCGCTCTTCATTGACACTACAGTGCAGAGGTATCAGAAACAATATGAAGACCGAGTTGTTAACATCGTATTGAAAAAACGTTTATTTCTGAAAAAAAGTAGTGCTCTTCATAGCAGTAATGCAGTTTATTGTAAGGGTGCAGTTCTGGCACTGTGGTCATCCTCTACAGTAGTAATGTAGTAACTGTGAAAATGACCCTGTCCCTTAGGGTACCATGTTTTGCTTTGTGTTGTCTAACAGCGCACTTCCATTATTTTCTTCAAAGAAAGCATGTGGTAACTGAACTCACTGTTTAAATACTTTGAAAAGTATTTCAAATTGATCAAGTTGATCTTTTGATAAACCACTGACACAGTAGAATTGAATCTGAAGAATTTTGGCTCAGTGCCTTTACTGTGGTGAAGAATGGCTGGTAGTTGATGAAGCTGAGGTTTGAAGGGTTACGTTCAGTCACATTTATAGTATCATGTAATATTACATTGTTCTGTAATATTGTACTGTTTAAGATCTTCATTAATGATCTTGATGATGGAGCAGAGTGCACCCTCAGCAAGTTTGCAGATGACACTAAACTGGCAGGAGGGGCTGATACACCAGGGGGCTGTGCTGCCATCCAGAGGGGCCTGGACGGGCTGGAGGAATGGGCCGACAGGAGCCTCATGCAGTTCAGCGAGGGGAAGTGCAAAGCCCTGCACCTGGGGAGGAACAGCCCCCGGCACCAGGACAGGCTGGGGGCTGCCCAGCTGGGAAGCAGCTTGGCAGGAAAGGCCCAGGGGGCCCTGATGGCGACCAGCTGGACATGAGCCAGCAGAGAATGGCATCCTGGGCTGCGTCAGGGGGAGTGTTGCCTGCAGGTCGAGGGAGGTGATCCTTCCCCTCTACTCGGCGCTGGTGAGGCCGCACCTGGAGCGCTGGGTCCAGTGCTGGGCTCTCCAGTACAAAAGAGACATGGACAGACTGGAGAGAGTCCTGCAAAGGGCCACAAAGATGGCGAAGGGCCTGGACCCTCTCTCCCAGGAGGAACGGCTGAGACAGCTGGGACTGTTCAGCCTAGAGAGGAGAAGGCTCAGGGGCATCTCACCAATGTGTATAAATACCTGCGGGGAGGGTGCAGAGAGGATGGAGCCAGGCTCTTTTCGGTGGTGCCCAGTTCCAGGACCAGAGGCAATGGGCACTGAATGAGGCACAGGAGGTTCCCTCTGAATGTCAGGCAACACTTTTTCACTGTGGGGGTGACCAAGTGCTAGCACAGGTTGCCCAGCAAGGTGGTGGAGTTTCCATCTTTGAATATAGGCAAAAGCCATCTGGACATGTTCCTGGGCACCCACCACTTGAAGAGGAGGGGTTGGACTAGATGACCTCCAGAGGTCCCTGGCAGCTTCAACTATTTGTTCACTCTGTGCATTTCAGAGGGCACATTTTGTGCACTGTTAAACTCACCAGTTAAATGTCATGCAGCAGCTATATACCAGGACAAAGAACTGAAGGTATTTGTTTGATATTTATCTGTGTTCTTACGGGATATTTGTTGCTCCACCAAAGCATCCAGCTCCCCAGGATGAAATACTGAAGAGAAGGATGCTGAGACCCAGTGCAAGACAGTGGTATTCCAAGGGAAGAACTGCAAGTACAGTTCATGAAAACTTGGAAGACTTACTTAAGAGTTATGGAGAAGCTTCAGAAAGAATCAAGGTGGCATTTGGCACTGATTAACAAGATACTTGTCTATTCAGTCTTTTGAATGATGGGCGGCTTTGTTGTCTTCTGTCTTTGCTCTCATTATGTCGGAAGTGAATACACTGTACAAAGTACTACAGAAAACACGAACAGTACAACTGTGTGGCCTCAGCAGTAGCAGCTTTCAAAAACATGACTGCAGCTTCCCCATAACAAGGCAGTGATTTGGCAGCACCTCACAAACATGACTCGACAAGCTCCTCAGCTAACCACCAAGGTTGTGTAAATGAGGTGTGTCAAGTTACAAAGGAAACTTTTGATGCAATAGTTGTCCAGTGCTAAATACAGATTTTTGGAGGGTTATCTCCCGATTACCATCAAGCTGGCTAATACAGAGTTAAGTGTACCTCTCTAAGAGGTAATCTGTGACAAACAAGGTATTTTTTGTTGCTTAACAACAAAATGTTCTCATCTTGTTAACACAGCTTGGTAATGAATTTTCTATGTTGTTCTCTCTTTGCACAGTGGTTTGGTTTTTTTTAAATCTCTATTACATACACACATTTGTGTGTCTATTAAATGATTTTCCACTGAGGTCCCCACCACCTAATAGAGCTGCCGTTACCTTGGGCGTTGTCCTCTTGTCCAGGTTTTCACGGCTTAATCTGCATATCAGCAACAGTGGCAGAAATTTGTTGCTGTCAACTGTTGTCCCCTGCATTCAGCAAGACGGAGGTAGGCTGTAGGGAAGGGAGGCAGACAGGTCAGCAGCCTGTCTAGCCTTGGCCTACAAGCATTTCACTGGTATGCCCACTCCGTGGTAATCGGATCCTGCAGTGGTGCGCTTGTGCTTCCCAAACACTGGGCTGTCGTCCCTGTCCCTGTGACTGCAGGGAAGAAGGTCTTAAAGCTAAAAAAGGCTTCAACAGCTGTTTACGCCATTTAATCCTCCATGACTGTACATACAATGTGAACTGTGGACAGACTAGGGCATACTTATGATCTGACCATTGCCTGAAACATGGCCATCACTAAAAAACGTTACAAATTAGGCTTATTGCCATTTGGTTTTGTCAAATAATACGCATAGCCCCTTCTTTCTGGAACACATAGGCTTGCACCCACCAAATGGACGTGAACATATATTTCTCTGAAGGACAGTGCTCTAGCAGAGTTTAAATCGAAGAACAATCTAATGCTTTTAGGAAAAGACACTATGAAATGCTTATTTGGTATTACCACAGCTTCATATATGATTAAATAAAAAATAGGTGAAAAACGTAGTAAAAAAATTCTAAAATTTACTTCTTCACACTGTTATTTCCTCCCCTTAGATTTCTGCAACGTTTTTAGTTTCTTGGTTACTTTGTAAAGCAGTTTCTGGTGCATAATGGGCTACCATTGGACATCAGCTTGGGAAGCGCTGCTTTGACACTACAAGTGGCATCGACCACAGCTGCAGTTTGTGAGTGTCACAGTACCACTGCTGCATGTTAAAATTGGTCTCAGTCAGTCCATTTCATTGAGGACACTAAGAAAGCTTTTGTGTATTTAAGTTGTTGTATTTGACAACTGCATGTTATTTTTTTTCCTTTGAATCCATGCAGCTTTTTAATACCAACAGATTAATGGCTTCTCTTTTAAAATGATATCTAAATTTACTGTGACAGAACAAAAGCTGCACAGCCTGTATCCGTATTTGTGGCAATGACAAAAATTGTTCTGCACATCCTTTTCAGATGGAAAAAAAAAATTAAAAAATTGTTGGAAATGGAGTTTGTGGAGTTACAGATTCGATCACAGGGCATACGTGACTGGCCACAACAGGGAAAACATGTAGACTTTTCTGCAGATGCTATTATTACATACCAATCTCATTTCTCAGTGCTAGAATTCACAGTATCTTGCAACTAACATGCCTAAAATGAGGCACTGGGTACAGACACATCAATTTAATCCCTGTCATCACTGTAGAATGACTCCATTGAGTATCTGGCATCCAGTCACTGCATTTGTTCTAGTGCCATAAGAAATGCATTTCAAACTTGAATTCTGCATATTTCTAGCCTGAGGAGTTCAGAGACAGAACTAGGTCACGAAGCGCGCTAGCTCAGGCACACGGTAGCTGCATGCGCTTCTCGAGTATCTGCTCTCCCTGACATCAGAAAATGAATGATGAAGCAATCAAGACCTGACAGCTTTTAAACCCGTCAAAGCAGTATGAAGAGAAGGTGTGGTCGCGGGTGAGGATAGCGCTCACGTATGTTTGCAGCAAAATTCCAAGGCTGCAAATAATGCCTTTGGTTAGCAGCAGGGATACTGGTCTCTGAAAGCTCTGCGTGACTGGGTGAGGTTGTTCCATTTGCAGTAACTAGTGGAAGGGGAAGTGGCAGGAATGAGCCCTGCACTACAAGCAGCTCAAGCAGAGAATTCCCTCGCTGCATACACTGTCAGCAGCAAGTCAGGTGTCCTTAGTCACGCTCTATTTTTACTGTTAAGGGTGCCCGGGGAAGAAAAATAGCAAAAAAACCCAAACAAACGAACAAAACAACCCAGCAACAAGAGCCCTGTACAAGTGTGAAACAGAAGTTCAAAGCGGTTGCGACGCGGGCTGGTACATTTCAGCTGGCATTAATGCAGATGCCCTAATTAGGAGTGGGAGACCAAGAAAATGTAGATGGTTTGAGGCAACACGGTTCCTCTGTGTTTTACTGGAAGTGTCGTGTACAGATACCTAGCTTACATGTTCAGTTTTCTCTGACCCCGTGTTAATAGTCTAAATATGCTAGAAATACCTATATAATAATTAGACTAATGAAGTCATTCAGGAGGAGGTATATTTTCAGCTAGATTGGTGGAACAGCTCCGTAGTGGACTTAGATAAAATGCAGAACAAAGAAAGGGGATGTAGAGTGAAATCTTAGTTGGTTCCATAGACACTGAAGGGAAGGGGGCAAGCTGAGAAGGATTTTCTTTATAATCTTTATAAGCAAGGATTCAAAAAATAATCTTTTAAAGTAAAATACAGGGGCTGGGGAAAAAAAAAAACCTTCAAAATGGAAACATACTTCATGAGATGTAACTCTTAAGGTGGAAGTAATAGACAGATGTGAACTACGTCTGTCCAACAGAGAACTTTCAACAGCATAGAGAAGAGAGAAAATAATGCTGTCCTTCATTTAGTTTCATGAAACTGGTACTTACTTACCATTAAATTTCAACATGCAGAATTAACCATACCATTCTTGGGATATGCCACTTCTAAAAGACCACATACAGCATTTTCCCCAAGTGGTTATTTTAAATCCACAGACTACCCTGGTTCTTTCAGTCTTAACAATCCAAAATCCTGTATTTAACATACAGGTTTTCTGGTGAGGCACTACCTCATGCCTGTGCTAGAGAGACGACAGCTACACAACTTATTTTACCCATCAGCAGAAGCATCACTTCTGTTCATCTCAATGGTAGAGGCCTATAAACAATGTCGAAAGCCTGTATATCCTTAAAAAGGCATGAACGTCCCCAAGATGTTAATGCCTTCTTAAGGCATGTGGGATGTTCTAAAGCCACATTAGGCTTACTGGTTTCAGTCTGTGTAAGTGCTGCACCACAAGCGCAGCTGACACTCACAAAGCGGCCTTGAAACAGTCATCCTGACTTGCATGCTGTTCAAAGCTAAGTGTCTTGTGGATTGTGTCACCTAGACTGAAGCCCTGACCCACACGAAGTAATTTAGAAAGTACAGCAGACAATACGTACAGTATTTCACCGAGACACAGGGGGGACTGTCGGGCACTGCACTGCCAAGATTCTTTCCAAATCCCTATTTATCTGGCAACAGGAGAACTGGCAAAATGGAAATAGAAAAATAGGGATTTCTGCGTGTTCCTTATTCCTTTGTATTTGCAAAGACTCTCTCTTCAGCATAGATCTCAGCTTTACACCCAGCCGTTCTTTGGCCTTCTGTTTTAGCCTTAGTGGAACAGCTGACAGCTGTGTAAAGTCACAGCTGTGTACAGTCAGTTTGTAAGATCAAAAGGAACCATCAATCACCCGTGTGTAACAATAATACAGTATTTGCGCTGAATTCATAGCTTTCATTTAGGCTAGGGGATTTGTTTGTAAGAATTCCAAATGACTTAAAACACTTAAAAGTGTCAAATAATCCATCACAGTTGCTCAACTGCTCAATTATACTAAGAAAAAAGATGCCAACTCCCTTTCATCACACAATGGAATAATAAAAGAAAAAGATTAAGAAGTGGGAGTTTTCTCACCATTCACGTTATGGCTTAATTTTTACCTCTACGTTCCTGGTCTTCCATAGCTCCTTCCACCGTAGATGTGCACCATCACAGACCTTACCAATAATCTAGGTAAGATGCACAAGCCAGTCTGAATTCTGTGTTACAGTGTATCCAAACTGCCTCTCCCCCCCTGTCCCAAACAATAGTCTTTTTGTACAGAGGAATGCTAGAAGAAGGGACAAAATTAGGCATAATCTACCTTCATTTGTAGTACGTTATCACCCCAAATCTTCTTGTTTTCACGATCCCTACTGACTTTAAACTGCAGGTGATAGTAATAATGCCTTTTCTTCATTCTGAATAAAAATGTTTAAATT